ATTCGAAGAATCCCACCAAGTCATATTGGAGCCCTTATAGGCAGGCCTGGAAAAGCCTCTGAAACTTATGAAGCTTTCTGACACACTAAACCCTAAACCCAAAGCCTTAAACCCTAAACCCTAAACACCCATATACGTAAAGACGTTTCGCCAAGACTAGAAGCCCTAAATGGCCCGAGAGCCTAAAAACCCTAAAGCCGTAAACCCACAACCCTCCACAAACCCTAAACCCTAATCCGAACTCCTGAGCCCTAAACCGCCCGCAAACCCTAAACCCTAAACCCCAAAGCTCCTAAACCATAAACCCTAAATCCTAAAACCACTAAACCCCAAAAACCCTAAGCCGTAAACCCCCGAAGCTCCCTAAATCCTAACCCTAAAACCCTAAACCCTAAACCCTCAAAGCTCCTAAAACCCCCAGGAATTCGCACAACATCGGCGCGGGCCAGATCACTGAGGCTGCAGCAGGCTGGGTCCAAGCCTCGTGCCACTCCTAAGAGCCTTTTTTAGGGCCTAGGTTGCAGGGTTTAGGGTTTAGGGTTTAGGCTTTTTTAGGGTGCTTTACCCTAAGCCGTAAACCCTAAACCCTGAACCGTGGGTCTAGGGTTTAGGGTTTAAATTAGGGCTTGGGGTGTGGAGCTCCACGTGAACCCGCTTTGATCAGCTCGTGGCAGCTTTGGATCGCGTGCAGACCGGCCGTCCCTGTCCCTGTAATACCAACGGTTTAGGGTTGAGGGTTCGTGGGATTCACACACTTCTCCCTAAACCCTAACCCGATGATCACCTGCTACAATCCCTTCTGCAGGCTTTCCTGGCTACACCGGAACAATCCCAAAGTCCGCGGCGACGGTGGCAAAGGCCTTGGCCGCAAAAGCCAAAAGTTAATGGTCCGGATAGCATTGCAGTCGGGACTCAGAGTTTACTTTAGACGCCTAAATAGTTAACAATACCATTTTGGGGCTGATCCTTAACATAAATTATACTATAATGCACCCCAAAACCCTATTCTAAGATTCTAATTATTAATAAATGATACTATAATGTGCCCCAAAACCCTATTCTGAATTATTAAGGCCCCCTACACTAGGGTTTAGGGCTAAATCCGGATGATCAGGGCAAGGTCTGGCTTTTCTGTGATTCCATATCAGAGTCTAGGACATTTTCAGGTGGGTAGCTACCGTTATAGGACCAGGTGGGTAGTTACCGTTATGGGAGCCTTATAGACGGTTTAGGGTTTAGGGTTTAAGGTGAAGGGTTAGAAGGTCTATATACCTTATAGAAGCTTTATAGAAGCCCTAGTTACCCTAAACTCCCCATCTGTAGTTTCCTTTATCAAAGTCCTTTGTTTCCGGAAACTGCCAAGCACAAAGCCGTAAAGTCCCAAACCCAAAGCCCACCACCGAAAAGTCGGCCCAGAAAGGCTCCACATCGAAATTGTAGGGGGTTTAGGGTTTAGGGTTTAGGGTTTGGGGTTTGTAGGATTTAGGGTTTTGGGGTTGTCATCCCTTCATATCATGCTCTAAGTTGTTTCAATGCAGCAAAAAAACCTTGCGGGATGTCTTCTACCACTGGTGCTCCCTACCCAACCCTAAACCCTAAACCCTAAACCGATTGTACAGAATCCGCCAGTCCAGGAAGACAATTTGGGTAGTTTTCTGAATTAGGGTCTTGCTTTAGGCCCCCAATCTAGTACGGCACCATTACAAAAAGGACCCCAAAAGGGTTTAGGGTTTAGGGTTTAGGGTTTAGGGACCCTAAACCCTTATAAAACGAAACCCTAAAAAGGGACCTTAATTCAGAGAGCTACCCATTTGAGTTATCAGGGCTGCCTTCAACAGTACTGTTTAGCAAACCTTCAGCTGCCATGGGGTCTTGTAATAATCAGCAGTCACCCTTGAAGGTAGTGAGGGTTCCTAAACCCTAAACCCTAAACCCTAGTTGTTCGTAAGGGCTCCATGACTAGGTCTCGGGTTTACGGTTTGTTCAGACGCGCTGGGGCTGCCAATCTGTTGAAAAGGAGTGGAGTTCTGGGTATGGGGCTTGGGGGGTTAAGGATTGCAGCCGTGCTCTGCGGTTCTCGACTTTACACCCTGTTTTCGGGTGCTTCTCAGGTTTTCGCCGTAAGAGACCAAAGATTTCCAACCCATACCATAGATGCTTCGCAGTGTCCATCGCAGTCACAGGTGCTGTCTGGATACGGCTATGATGCCCGTCTGCATTCGAGCAGCATTCTGTGCATGCAAGGGTGGGTTGACTCGGAATGCAACCTCAAGCCGCAAATACTAAGCCCCAAACCCTAAACTGTTGAACATAAAACACCCTAAACCCCTTGAAGTGTCAAGAATAGAAACACCCTAAACCCCAAACCCCCCAAACCGAAAGCCCAAGATTTAAAGATAGATTTCCTAAACCCTAAACCCTAAACCCTAGATTTCCAAGACCTCCCCTTCAGCCCGAACCTTTTTTTTTTCCGCTGCCAAGCTTTCGATTTCCCAGGCCTGAAGGCCTTACTCATAAAATTGGTCATAACATACTCGTCGTAGTAAGAATATTAAGAGGGTAAGAAGAGTCATTACCGTAATGTGAGTAATTATCGTAATGATAGTAATAATCGTGATAAGTAGGACTTCGGCTTTCTCCAGTCAGCTTTATAGAGAGGCGCGTAGATGCTACGGGTTTAGGGTTGAGGGGCTAAACCCTAAACCCTAAAACCTGTTTTGGGATGTTTAGGTTTAGGGCTTCCTTTCTTGTGGCTTGTCTTATCATGGGACCCGGCCCATGAACAAGAGGTTGAGAGCCTGTGGACTTCTTTAGGGCTAGGGTTTAGGGTTTAGGGTTTAGGGTTTAGGGTTTAGGGTTTAGAGTTTAGGGTTTAGGGTTCAGGGTTTACAGTGAATCCCAGAAAGTTGGAACATGGGTTTAGGATGATTGGTGCTGGGTTCCCCCTTGCTTTACCTTGAGAGCATGAGGACAAAGATGTTCCAACATTCTGGCGCCTACTTTAGGCATTAGGGGATGTTTGGGTTTCGGATGCCAAGAAGGAGGTCTGCAACGAACACACGAACAGGAAATAGCAATAACCATAGAAGCCCTGTTATACTCTTATTCTACTAGCCCGCTGAAACCCGTGTGAAACCTTCGAGAGCCTCAAAGGCTCGTTGTGTAAAACTCTGAGAAAGCAATCGAAATCCTCTGCGCTGCTCATCGCTGTTGGTTTCCGGGCTATGTACTGTACCACTTTTCCGATGAGGCAATAAAGAACCCTAAACCCTGAACCCTAAACCCTAAACCTAGACTAAACCCTATTCATATCATGAAGGCCCCGATCCTTCCACCCAAAGATGGCATATTTTCTCCTCTGGTCGCGAAGGATACGGCGGCATTCGGCAAGTGGCACAACACCCCAGTGTGCTGCCTCGATGAGGGGTTCAGGGTTTAGGGTTTAGGGTTTAGGGTTTAGGGTTTAGGGTTTCCGCAGTTTACGAAGGGGTCGGAATAGTTAGTAAGAGCATTCCCTTGTAGTCCCTCTAGAATCATGGGATCTGTAGGAGATACCCCAAAACCCTACTTTCATATAGGTAGCTCTCTAAATTCGGGTCCCTTTGTGGGTCCCCAATATAGTACGGCACCCTTATAAACAAGTACCCTAAAAGGGACCCTAGTTTAGAGTAGTCCCTCTAGAATCATGGTAGGAGATATCCTAAACCCTAAACCCTAAACCCTAAACCCTTATAATGTCCCCTATGTATAAGCCTAAACCCTAAACCCTAAACCCTAAACCCTAAACCCTTATAATGGCCCCTATGTATAAGGCTCTTGGGGACCTGAGGTCAACCCTCGAGCATAAACCCTGCGATTCGGAGCTTCAGGGCGATGACGCAGGGTTTGGGGTTTAGGGTTTAGGGTTTAGGGTTTAGGGTTTAGGGTTTAGGCTTCACTGGTGTCCGAATGTAGGGGCCTAAAGAATCACCGATACTATTTTTGGGGGTTCCTGATTATGAGTATAGTATAACATGTCCCGAAACCCTATTCGAATTATTAAGGCCCCTATATTAGCTCGCCCAATAACTTTTGTCCTTCTTGACTGCGGGGTCTGAAACACCGAATATGTACTACATAGTAGGAAATGGGTACTCTTAGTACTAAGGGGCTACTGGGGAACAACGTGTCTTCGGGTTTGGGATTTCAATTATACTTCTCCTCTTTAGGGTAGGGGGGTCTGTGAATCGGGCTCTACCTGCAAACCCTAAGCCCTAAACCCTAGTGGGCTGATTGTTGGTTTACTTCCGGGACGTGGGGACAGGGAATCCTGGGTTCTAGCCAACGTTTCTTTCCCGAAGTCGGCGAAGGCTTCAGGGTTTAGAGTTTAGGGTTTAGTGTTTAGGGTTCAGGGTTTAAGGGTGTTACAAAGGCTTTATAAGGTGTCACACGGGCTTTCGAAGAGTTTCAGAAGGTCGTCTCGAACTTGTAGAGAGGGATGAAGAAAGCAGCCGCCAAGTCAGCGTGAGGGGCTCTCGGAAGTATGGTTCCTTTCGCCGAAGTCCTGGACCAACTGTATCGCCCATGGTCTGCACTGCACCCCACTGACAAAAGCTCGTGCTGAACCCGTCAATGAATGCCAGGAGTTCCGTTGTGCTGATTTAAACTGGAAAGTAGCACCTGTTGTTCTGGTGCCTGAGCGGGCGCCCGTCTGGACAGCCACCTATTCCGAACCCTTCACGCGAGCTGTAGCCCGGCCGCAAGAATTGCGGAGCGCCTACTCAAGCTTTGAAACCCAACATCAAACCACACCGAGGTGCTAAACCTGAAAGACCACAGAACAAACACTAACACCCAATCCTAACTCCCCAGCCCCAAAACCCTGAACCCTCAAGCAAAATAAAGTAGTTCTCTAAATTATGGTCCCTTTTGAGGTCCCCAGTAGAGTACGGCACCCTTATAAAATGGACCCTAAAAGGGACCCTAATTTAGAGAACTACCCACATAACACCGCTTCCCAGGTCAACAATCTGTTTAAGACCGGCCCCTTCGACCAATATCCGACAGGCAGGGATCTGTCTGCTGGAGTGGCTGAGTTGGTAACGCTTGACCTTTTGGGGCTTATGTGGTTTAGGGTTTAGGGTTTAGGATTTAGGGTTTAGGGCTTACATATATAATAGAAGCCCAGAAGGTTGGAGACCCAATAGCCTCAATCCTTAAGAGTCATGTATAGGGCCCAGCACTGATTGTCCTGAATCCGGTTTCCAACTTTTTGGGGCTTATATCGATCATCCTACTCTAATTGAAGAGGGCACGGGTACTCAGCCCCTACGTCAGTGTTTTGGGATTTTGGTGTGGCTTCTCAGGTTTTAACGGGGCCTTCGTCGTAGTCGAGTTCCGTAGGTTTCAGAGTTCTGTAGGCTTGAGTTGCGGCTTTTGGGCTTTCCAGCTCTCATGCTCAGCTGTTTAGGGAAACCTTGAAAGCTGGAAGGCTGACACAAGCTTTAGGGTTTAGGGTTTAGGGTCTTCGAGGTCAGTATTCTGAGCAGGGTGCCCAGGGTTCCCGCGAAGGGTAAGATGCAAAATGCTGGTTTCAGTTCCTGTAGTAGAAGCCCCACAGGGAACTGGGCGAGTTCTAAGCCCCAAAGCCTCAAAATCCAAACCTCAAAACACGCAACCTGAAACCCCAAACCTAAACAAAGCCCCAAATCGCGAGAATCTTTTCGCCGTCCCTCTTCGGGCTGCTATCTCTGTTTTGCATACGGTCGGGGCTTCTTAGCTGCAGAGCTCCAAGAGTCCACGTACGGAGCCCTAAACCCTAAACCCTAAACCCTAAACCCTAAACCCTAAACCCTAAACCCTAAACCCTAAACCCTAAACCCTAAGCCCAGGCATCTCGGTTTGCCAGCTTGCACGTTGCAAGATTGCAGTTAGCACGCCCGACCACAACGCCTCAAGGCGTGTGGCTTGTATCACCTTTGAGGCATTTTGCCATGGCCGAACAGCGCA